AAACTGATTAACCAGAATTTCAAACTGTACCTGCAATTGTGTTGAGAATACTCTCRAATGARAACATTGTKTCTTCCTCTGCATCTCTTACATTGGAACCGGTCTCACTCCAGAGCACCTCGTAAAGGGTCTTGAATTTCGCTCTTGTCAGTGGTTCCTCCACTTTGGTGAAGAGCTTCTGAAATTCTCTCCAATTGTTTTTGACTGTCTCYCACAGGAAGCCGCAAGAATTAAATCCATCGATGAACTGTTCGATCATGCTCTTTGGCCTGGGGGARATWATAAACTTAATTTAATTTTATGATGTTATAAATTTTGGATGCCATTTGAGGCTCAACTTTTGCTTGCAAGTGTAAAGTCACCTCAGAAAAATGTAGTGGCGAATGACATGCTGCACAATTTGCTGCCGATCTGTGTATGGGAGGCTGAAGATCTGTGGTGCACCACAACTTGCCACCCAATCCCCCAACTCTTCCCTTAAGTTGGCCCAACTGTTTTCAGAATCACACTGAAGAATCTGTAAAAAGCAACATGSGCATTWATTAACTTGTCATTTTGCATTGTGAAATAACCTAGTTTCAGCAATGCAAACAAATTGTCATACTCTTTGGATGTTCTGCTGAACATCAGCTTCTTGGAGCACAGCACAGTCAAATTCGTGGAAGTCAGGATCTTGTCCACACATTAGTGTGTACAATGTTTGATTTAAACATTTCAGTCCTGGACCCCCATGAATGACAGACCAGGCAGCTAGCTTTCCGGCAGTGTATAACTGCTTCTGGTCATATGCCTTCTGGTTGTACTCAAAAAGCAGGTTGTTTTGTTGACCTTGAAAGACTCCCATGCCCTGGACTTGCTGCATGAGAAGCCTGAAAATAAGCAGAAACAAGGGTATTCTTACTGAATATAGATATACTTTTACATTAAGGTCGTATTCAGACCTGATAATTTGCTCCGCTTTAAACGAACCAGAGTTCGTTTCCAGCGTTGGTCCAGACCTTTTGTGCAGGTGTGAATTCACTCATGCGAACTCTGGTGCGGATCAAACAACCGGACCTGCTTTTTGAGGTGGTCTCGGTCCGCTTCCAAACG